TTTCAAATTAGTGTTCCTTCGTTCGAACTATTTTTGACGTTGTTCCCTAATTAATTAGGCGACATGTGCTACTCACACCAAACCCACTAAAAATGACAAGTTGAATAGTTTGATTCGTCAAACTGCCGCATTCAAGGTTTGAGTGAAAGCATGCAATTTGGCGCCTAATTTTCACTTGGCATAACAAAGACACACTCTCATCTTATCACATTCTCATTCTAACTGCGGTAAGCATGTGCCTGTGTTAATGTGCTTGTCAAGTGGTTGGTGTCATTTAGGCGAGGCAGAGAGCTGGATGCGTAGAGAGATCGGGAGGTCTAGACAGACAGGTAGACAATTTAGCATTCTGATTAGCCTTGAGTGTTCAAAGTGGCTTCTCTATCCCCTTTCCCCTATGCACCAGTACTGAATAGGCGGCAGAGAGTGGACCTCAATATTGTCCTCGTGTCACTCCACCTACCCTCAACTAATGCCACGACTCGGTCCCAAATTGACATTCTTCACCAAGTCACCTTAGGGAAAGTGTCAACTGACGAAGACGATATATTTATGCCAAAGTCAAATTAGCACAGATTTGTTGCAACATATCCGTCCCAATAATCATGGAATAAAGCTAAGTAATTGCAGCTTCCTTCAACAAAGCAGTCATTCTTATAGCTGACTTGGAAAGGCCTTATGAGTTAGATTTATGCACGCACCCACGCGAAGCAGAAAGCAAATGAGCATATAGGCTTATGTATGACGACAGACTCTCAAGATGCAAACGACTTTTATCATTTTTCAGCTTTCAATAAAATTTGCCCATATTTTCTACAAAGAGGATCTTAGGCAAAAGTAGGCTTTATGTACTAAGCAACGATTTTGTCAATTCGTTAGTGCATTTTTATTATACATTAGCAAATCATTTAGCAATTCCTTCACAAATTTATTGTTGCACATTTGAATCCAAGCTTGTTGAAGTGGAGTAGTTATGGTTCCTGTAAATGCGTTCACATCTACTGATTGATCCATCAAACCTTGATTTAAATGAGTGGCAGCGACTCACAACTGTGACTAAATAATTGGCCGTTTGAAGGGGAATTGCACAATCCTCATTCGAGTTGGCTAAATTATGCAGCTTGAAATATCCATTGGAAGCAAAATACGTTGTCTGTTAAGTGGCATAACAAAGAGCAGTATGTATCAGTAAACTAACGGTATCCACAATTGGTTGGAGGTTTGCCTATGGAGATATTTGCCGAGGGCATAGTTGTATTGAGTCGATGCTCGCGAGCAGTGGATCGGACTCCTCAAGGAGACACATGCAGTGGGAGGCACTACCGACTGTAAGTGATGCTAAAGCGTGTGTTTTGATTGAAATTAACAGTTTCGGGTTTCACTGTGTCTCAGCATATGGTGGTGGTGCGTCAGTGTAATTGTCACTACGCCCATTAACGTCATTGTTCACAAACATGTAGAAGTAGAATCCAGGCTAAACCAATCTGCTCCGAAAAACGGATGGCACATGAGCCTACGTGGACGTATTCAATTGTAAATGCACGCAAGTAGCGTACATCATGCAGGTGAGGTCGGAAAAGCAAAGCCGTTTACTACGCAATCACGCGAATTCAGGTGATTAATGAGCAACAAGAACCATCAATTAGGTTGATGTATGGATACTGAACGAGGCGTCATGACACCAGACTGGGACACAATGGCAGGCAGTAAAGTGTTTGGGCATTTCAACTTGTGGCTCTTCTTATTACCGCTCTTTTGTGGTGTGTTGTAATTAGTGCTTCCTGTGTTTTCTGTTCTTGATCGGCCAATTGTAACGCGGCTAACGTATTGGAAGTTGCCTGTGAACCAGAAATCAGTGTTGCATTTTCACTGATCACAAAAGGGAAAAAGGATAACAAAGTCATTGACATAACCTGTTGAGTGCGATGGGTCTGTCGTTTCATCCCCTCTGTAAATTACATTGATAGCCAATAGCTGGTATACGCAGTGCTAACAGATGCAGACCTCGACTTCGAGAGACCCCAATTCACCTGTCCAAATGGCAGCATTCGTGTCGTTATATTAGTCTCAAGTGGTGAGCATGCCTATCGCACCGAACCAAATTGGTGAAGCTACCATCTGTGCTCAAGTCAGAAGTGCGCATTCAATTGTACACGCTTCACCAAGCAACGATGCGTATCATAGTGTGCGTAGGCACGTGGATTCAGGCAGTGGAGTACGAGTAAGAAACGAGTTCCGTCCGCACTAATGAGCAAAACCCCAACACTAGGACATCCACTCGTGGCTTGTACCCCAAGCCACGCTTGTTCCACGCTCTGACACTCAACAACCCCAATACCGCGATTGCATTAATCTACTCAATGCTGCTCGAAGTTGTGGCAGAAAACTACTCTACACACTACCAGACCCAACAAATCGGTCCAAAGAAAGTGAAGCTGTTCAATGACAACGCAAAATTGCATACTCCATGCATCTCGCGCAACCCATCCATATCACAAGGCAGCGGAACCCACACGTGGGAACGTCAGCATTTAATGTGGTATGCTAAGTGTGAGGTGCCGCCTCATCACCATTTCCATTCCAACGGCTTCCGCATCTCTCATATTCTCCTTCTCATTCAGTATCAAACATGTCAGCCTATACGACCACTTACCCATTCAGGCATATTGCTTTCAATGAACTGCAGCACATTGCTTTTAACTGTGGCACCATCGATGAGCTTGCCTGTACTCATCGCAGTTCCTACGCACATTCTTCAAAATGCCTTCCTTTTCTACAAACCATTTGGAGCCCAAGATATCAAATAACATCCCTTCTTTCGACCTGATATTTTGAGCACTTTTAGACGTGGTCGAAGTCAGAGGTGATCATGACATGCAGCACTGCGCTTGATAGTGCACATGCAGAAATGCACACTCGCATGATTCCACCTGAGGTTCTTCACACCCCCATGCACTAATCCTCTCACGTCCCCTTCTAACACGTCTTGGACACGTCCACTTCGACAAACGCATATGCACACACGCAGGTGGCAATGGCAAGGATGAAGGGAACAGCAGGTGAAACGCAAGCTCGTCTTCTATTGTGCTCATGTTGGCACCTAGAGCGCATAGCTGGACACACATGAGTGGGAGGTGAGTGAAGCCAGCACGTTGGAGGCGACTGAAACACAGACAAACGAGCACATGATTAGCACGTTTGCATTTGCTAGAAGTGTACATTTCTAACAACACTACTGGCTCATGAAGCCACGACCAACTGTCAATGTGAAGGCATTCATACGTCATTTTCCGCAACTACCTAAACAACTGATGCGATGCACCAATTCCCCTCATCCAACATTTCGGCATCGTCAGATTAATCACTTGTCAGTGCTCACGTTACGCCTATTCTGCACTACAATCACTAACCACACACAGTGAGTGCTCCTGCCTCACTACTTCGTTGGCTCTAATGTAAGGGTGTTGAGAGAGAGAAGAAGCCTTACTAGTGACTCACCAATTCTACCGAGGCAACGCCACTTTACTTCATTCTACTCAAACAATCCACGCCAAACATCTGCAAAGCAGAGGAGACCAAACAGAATATCCAAGCAGTCACTGCGAAACAGATGTAGAGACGGAGAAATGCTTACTGAGGTGAGATGAATGCATGTGTTGTAGTAATGCCTCTGTCGTCGAATGGACTGTGCAGCATTCTGTGCAGTGAAGGTGTTTTTCCATATCCATCGTGCGTTCAGCTGCAGCACATGACAAAGTGTAAAGTGAGGATGAGTTCGCGTAAGTTGCTGAAGCTGTGACAGAGCAAGAGAGCATACTGCGGATTCAATCTTATTCATGCAGGCGCCAACTCACTCATGTGTTTTTCAATGAAGTGACTGAGAAGCAAATCAAAGCGTCCGAATCGCTCGAAGCACACACAACACCTGTTATGCTTCGAGGCTATTTTGTGGGTTCAAGAAAAGTGCTTGCATTACTTTCAACAAATATGTGTAAACATGAGGCAAACACAACATGGAGATATTAGGAATTCGCATACCCCTTTGATGCACCAAGGTCAATCCGATGGTTTCGGGAAACTCCAGGCAAATAGGACAATAGCTATGCAGGCTTGCTAAAACTTGTCAAACATACTTGAAATGAGATATTGAAGTGTTGTTGGGTGGTTGCGAAAGTGACACGATACAGTGACTAACAAAACACGGGTAACCTGATTTTGCCACTTGTTGTGCAAGTGGTCAATCACGGCAAAGTGGAAGTTGGTGTTTCAACTATGACCCACCTCACACGAGACAGCTAATACATACATATATGGACTTATGTGTGCACGCACATACACACATACACACACAAATGTGTAAGAAAGTAGGGAGGTGCGTGTTGAACTATACGGCGCCTACATTGATGCGCATGAAAATGGTGTGCTCGGAGTAAATTGTGGGTACTGGATGACGCGGAGCATATTGCACACTTGTAAAGGTCCATGTCAGCAGTGAAAGATCCAGCGACGGTGTCTGCACTGCGAGTGGTGAGAAAGTGAAGGAATCGACTGGATTCGTCCTCACTCTTGCATGTGATTACAACGCGAAGCAGCACTGGTCACGTACTTACTGACTGAAAACATTCAGTCAAACGGGTACTTGAGCACAGTCTACTGCGCTCTATTCGTTTCAGCTCCACTTCCACTGTCGCTAATACTTTCCTCATCCATTCACAATGGATTTGTTCTAAAAGTACTTAAGCAATCAGTAGTCACAAGAAAGCGAATAAAGAGCTGTTAAGGTCAATCGCGTGCTCATTTTTCTCATTTTTCTTTACATGATTCCACATTAAAAGGACGCTTAGAATTACGTGTTTTGCTTAAAGTATTCATCTTAACCTCTGGCAGCTGACTGATGCGTCTTCGCCTGCTAGAGGTTAAGGTGAACATACGCGGATATACACAAATTGCCAACATAGGAAAGGAGAGACATTAACTCCAGCCAGAAAGAAAATAACATATTTATGCTAAAGGAAGTGCAAGTGACTAAATGAATCAAAGCGCCAAAAAAATTTTGCCTAATGGAATTGTTAATGCCACTACAACACAGTGGAAGGTTACATTAACTGGTAATAATATAAAGTACACTCGGGGCTGCAGAGAAAGCTGATATACGATGGCATTGACGGGTTGTTGACATTTGGATATGATTAATCAGATGGTTCATTCATAAAAATTAGACTAAACAAAAGCGTTTCGCGATTTCTCCTCACCTTTCTGCAGTCTTCACTTCTGCTGCCACCTTCAAAGTTCTCGATCTTCATCCGTTTGTCTCACCTTAATCAAGAAAAATAATTTTTAGCGAAGGTGCATATAAACAGTCCCACAGGACAAGTGAAATTTCGGGTACAGTGGCTGATTTTACACCGAAAAGGGCAAATTGGACTTGTGCAAAGCAATTGAAATGGATTGGCATAATTACAAATATTCACTTGCATCGTACATTCATACCTATCATGGCAATTTAGAAAAACCGAGAAACTTGGACAAACAATTGTGAACAAGAAGCAAATCACACATTTGTTATAAGTGAACAGGAGCAGCCACATGTTTAAGTTAATTTACAGAATTATGACTGCTGAATATCCTCTACTCTTTGTCCATGACAACAGCAAGCTCTGTACGGGTCAAGTGCTAAGTGAGTGGCAGTGGTGCTTGAGGATGCAACCTGTAGTGTTCAGCGACACAACCAATATCTTCAAGGCTATTCCCAGTATCGAGGCAGCCTAGTTTTGCAAGATTACTTTAGCATAATTTAACTGTTAGGTGGTCAGGGGCATTAAAGAGGAATGAGGCTTCTAAAACATCCAACAATGCACCACAAGTGGTGTTTGCTTTGATCGGCACCACTTCTGCATAAACGTAATAATAACGAGCATGGTGTTATATTTTCACAATTTATTTTGCTTCCATTACTGTTCTTTGGAAAAACGCTAACAGGGAATTAGGTGTTTGCAACCGAAATTGGAGGTGTGATGTAGCACCAACAATGGGTACATGTGTAGCTATTGCAAATCTTGCTCTACTTCTCAGAATGTGCTCATTGTAAGCACAAGTAATTGACAGAAAAACATCCTTAGATATGACCTGGGTCAATGGACTGTAATAAATTACTTTAGGTGTTGGAAGTAAGGGCAGTTAGATTAGCATGGTAGCGAAGATTTATTTACCGAAGTAGTCTTTGGGTGAAGTGGGGCTTTCGAGATTAATATACTCCTGTATACTTCTGCATATTAAAGAGAATATTGTGGTACTGAACTAGCTATAACAATAACGAAAGTTCCTGCATTAGTTATATAAGCAAAATAACAAGCTTCACGAGGCTTGAACTTCAATTTTTATTGTAAGGGCGCCAACTGTATGATGTCAGAATACAAACAGCTGCGAAAAGAGTGCTTGCTCATTTTAAAGTTTACTAGGCTTTTCGAAGGCTGCTGAAACAGCCATGCGTCGAAAGCAAACAAATATCGCGCCTTCCAACGGCCTCAGACATGAAATTAGCTAATGCCATAAAGCAATACTAATTTGAAG